AGCTTCCCTACACGGCCTAAGAAAAGCTGGAATGAGCGTGACCACTCAGCGAAGTTACGACCATTCAACAATTGTGCCGTAACTTTTTGAGAGATCATGCCCGGTAATGCTGGTAATGCAACTGTGCTAGTAGGCACTGTATATTGGTCAAACATAAAAGTGGAAGTACCCATAGATGTCTCAACGGTAGAGGTGTCAACAGTAGGGTTCTCAAGTCCCTCAGTAGTAGCCATATCAACAACAATACTAGGGCACCCGTGACAGGAAAATAACTCTAAGATAAATAGAGGAATAAAATAAGGGAGAACAATATACCTTCAGTCGAACAGTAGCGACAAATAAGGAAGGTCCAAAAAGCTCCCAAATAATCAAGTCACGGTGCCCAGAAATCCAATAAATATAAATGATATACTGCATCAAAAACAGATAAAAGGAGAAGAGGATCCGCTCCCTCCTAAAAAAGTCCTAGATACTGCAATCTGACAGCACTATGACGAAGTGTGCGAAGGACCAAGCTACAACAAAAAAGCAACCCAGCAGTGGGCTGATGAACAGTGACCCAATCTTATTTGGTTTGTTGGTTTGTGACGGCTAATAATATTGGCTGTCACGGGTGCTTAGCTGTATTGGTTTTTGGGTTTGATTGTGGGTTGGTTTGATGGAGGCAGTCGGTGTGGACAGGCTGGTCAGTTGGTTTGTGGTTGCTGGTTTTGCTGTGTAGGCAGTCGGTGCTTTATGGAGGCAGTCGGTGCAGTGGGTGAGACAAGTGGGTTTGTGGATGTCGGTGTGATTTTGTTGGAGTGTTGCGGCTAGGGGCTGGAAGGCTGTTATGAGGATAAGGATAGGTATGATGGGCAGTCGGTGGAAGGCTTTGGGGCTTGTGTTTTCGCTGGGCAGTAGGTTGTCGGTGGAGTTTCGCTGGTTTTGGTTCAGCGTTTTTCTATTTCGCTGGTTTTGGTTCGCTGGTATGGAGTCGGTGGATGTTTCTGGTTTTGATTTCAGTCGGTGGATTTGGTTTCAGTCGGTGGATGGACAGTCACGCATGGGGTTGGTGGACAGGCAGTGGGTTGCTGGGTTTGCTTGAAGGCAGTTTGCCAGTGAGACAATCTCGGTGGAGGCTAGGTTAGGGAGAAGGTTAGGGTTTGAGGTAGGGTTAGTGTATGGCTCTGATACCAACTTGGAATAAACGTAAGTGAAAAGGGATACTCAAATTAAGAGTAGAGCCCCATATATATATCCAAAAATAATACAGAGTGACTTAAACATCCTTGTAGTTTAGGCAAATATAAAAATCTTAGTAAAGGTAAAAAAGAGAAAAAAAATCCTAATAAACTTAGACTATCTATACTCCAACACCTATCAAGTGAAAACTCCATCTTGCACTTGAGAATTCAACCACTCCTCCTCCTGAGATTACTGCAGCTTTTTAGGTCACTAAGAGTGGTACTACTGATCGCTTCAAAAGTAATTCCTCTGCTGGTCATGATACCCATCTTGGAGGTCGTAACTCCTTTCCTTTCAACATGCGACATGGTCGCCATGGCCAAGGACGTGGCCAATCTAGCTGTGGTGGTGGTAATTGGCATCAATCACATGCCTCTTTTTCTCGTCGTTTCTGTCAGATTTGTGGCAAACCAAATCACACAGCACTGCAATGTTGGTATCGTCTCGATCCTTCTTACCAACGTCCTGTTCACTCACAACCTCAGGCCTATATTGCTGCTCATACAACTTCTCCTGACTTGAATTGGAACATCGACTCTGATGCTTCCAATCACATTACTTCCGATTTGTGTAACCTCTCTGTTCATTCTCTTTATTTTGGACAAGACAACGTCACAGTTGGCAACGGTACCACCTTACCCATTCATCACACTGGCGATGGTTTGCTTCCGACACCCAGTAAAAATTTTCTCCTCAAAAATGTTCTTCATGTGCCTAACATTTCATCTAATCTCTTGTCTGTTCATAGGTTTGCTCATGATAACAATTGTATCACTTCATTTGACTCGCGTGGTTTTGTGGTTCAGGGCATGTTAACCAAGAGAATCCTACTCCGGGGGGACAGTAAACATGGTCTTTATCCGCTACACTCTAATTCTTTGTCTCCTTCAGCTTTGCTCTCCTCTAGAGAATCAAGCAAAATTGGGCATAACAGGCTTGGTCATCCTGCAATCTCTACATTGCGCAAGTTACTTTTTCGTCATCAAATTCCTGTTTCTGATTGTATTTCTTTTGATTGTGAACATTGTAACATTGGCAAGAGCCATAAACTTACATTTACAATGTCTACTTCAAATGTTAATACACCATTATTTTTTATTCATGCGGATGTTTGGGGACCTTCCCCCTTGCTTTCTATTGGTGGGTTTCGCTACTATGTCATTTTTATAGATCATTTTTCACGATTTTGTTGGCTTTATCCCAAGAAAACAAAATCTGAAGTTTATCAGAACTTTCTTTGTTTCAAAAATTTGGTTGAAAACCAATTTTCCAGCACTCTTAAAATTTTTTGCTGTGATGGTGGTGGTGAATTTGTTAATAACAACATGCAAGATCTATTCACCTCTTTTGGCATTATTCATCAGCATTCTTGTCCACACACTCCTGAATAGAATGGAATTGCCGAAAAAAAACATCGGCATCTTATTGAAACCACCATTACCCTACTACATACCGCTTCCATGCCTACTCTTTATTAGCTTGATGCTTTATGTACTGTCGTGTTTCTTATTAATCGAATGCCTAGTCCCGTGACTAATAATATTTCGCCTTATGAGAATCTGTTTAAAACACAATCAGATTTTTCCATTTTGAAGACATTTAGGTGTTGTTGTTACCCATGGTTGCGACCCTACGATTGTCATGAACTTCAACCCAGGTCACGCAAATGTTGTTTTATTGGGTATTGTTCTAATACTAAAGGCTATCGCTGCTTGGATATTCAAGCGGGTCAAGTGTTCGTTTTTCGACATGTTGAGTTTGTGGAGCATATTTTTCCGTTTTCATCACAGGCCATGTCTCCTTCTCCTGGCACATTCACTTTACTACATGACACATCCAAGTCTCAAATTCCGGTACATATTTCTCCACAACCCATCTTACAGGCTTCATCAAATCCATACATTTCCTCTATTTCCTCACCACGTTACCAAGTTCCTATGTCTACCCCACTACTCTCCCAGTCCATTAATACTCCTTGTCCACCCACCTCCCAATCTCAATCTCCAACCACAGTACACGCTGATACTTTTCCAGCAAATTCCCAACCGTTAATACCCAATACCTCTTCTCTTACTCCTCCCTTGACCCAAGGTTCTTCTGCTGGGCCATCTATTAACCTTCATCCCATGGTGACTCGATCCAAAGTCGGCACGGTAAAAAGAAAACCTATCTTTTCTCTAAGTGCCCAATGTGCTCTTACCCCCATTCCCATTGAACCCACCTCCTACACTCAAGCCAACAAGAATGAAGTGTGGCGAGCTTCCATGTCCGCTAAATTTAATGCCCTTCTCAATCATGGAACTTGGACTCTAGTCCCACCTCCCTCTCATCGTCACATTATTGGGTGCAAGTAGATATACAAACTCAAGACTAATGCTGATGGCATCGTGGCTTGTCACATAGCCCGTCTTGTTGCTCAAGGTTTTAGTCAAGAATATGGTCTTGATTATACCGAAACTTTTAGCCCGGTAGTCAAGCAACCCACCATTCGGGTAGTTCTTTCAATGGCATTACACTTCGACTGGCCCATTCGCCAACTCAATGTATCTAATGCCTTTTTACATGGTTTCTTGGACGACGAAGTATACATGACCCAGCCACAAGGTTTTATTGATCAAACTCATCCCACTTATGTTTGCAAATTACAAAAGGCTATCTATGGCTTAAAACAGGCACCATGTGTCTGGTTTGCAACACTATCAAAAATTTTGATATCCCTTGGCTTTTGTACTAGTTCAGTAGATAGTTCTTTATTTGTCGATACTCATTCTAGTCGAGTTACTGTTGTTTTGATATACGTGGACGATATACTTATTACTAGAAATGACAAATCTTTTGTGGATTAAGTTATTCAAAAGCTAAGCACTGAATTTAACATGAAAGATCTAGGACTTCTTAATTATTTTTTGGGTCTAGAGGTTACAAGGACATCGTCTTTCATTTCACTTTCTCAGTCCAAGTATGCCTTGGCACTCATTGATCGTGCTTCAATGCGTGATTGCAAGTCATACTCCTCGCCAATGTCTACCAAATTGTTTGCTGGACCTACTGATGAAGCTGTGTTTCATGATCCACATCTTTATCGAAGCCCTGTGGGTGGTTTACAGTATCTCACCATTACTCACCCGAATTTGTCATTTGCCGTCAATAAAATGTGCCAACATATGCATCAACAACTCAACAAACAATTCATGGCTGTCAGCCTGTCAAGTCCATTCTTCATTATGTCAAAGGGGCAGTCCTCAGCAACCAGAGATACTTCTACCGATCGATCTACTCCAAAGGTCCCCTTAAGCTCATATAGTATCCTCAACAAATTCCCAGGATAAGCTCTGTATTGTGGCATTCTCGGTATCCTCTTGCTTGGCCAAATGCAACCCAGCTTGCATCTAAAAAGATTGAGATACAATAGTATTGAAATTCTGTCTGGCAGACGCAATTTATTCCCTTTGGAGAGAAAAAATGTTAAAAGAGTCTTTAAGAATGAATATAAGAATTCAACTACCATATTTTTTTTTTTCTGAACCAAAAAAAAATAAAAATACTGTTTATGGATCATTTTTCCTGTAACGTTTCATTGTCAAAAAAATAATTTACAAATCAAATTGCCGGAGTAGGAGGTGATCACTTAGCACGAAGCTTGGGGCCCACCATTTTGTTGGGCTCTGATCCAATTTATTAACCCAAGCCCCAGAGCCCCGTCACATATTCCACCGAATATACCCCCCTGCTGTGCGATAAAGTCCGATTTGTCCAGGTAAACTCAGCACGTGGCGAGATAAAGTCTACTACTTGACCAAATCGCAGGGAAGGGAACCGGAGAGAAGCAGCGTACCCTATTAGGGTTTGAGGTGTACGCCTCCCACTTTAAATCAACACTTTTCTCTCAGTGCGCTGCCCGCCGATTAGCGTAAGGTCACTGAGAGCCTCCAGTCACCTCGCCGCCTCCTTCTATCCCCGTCTTCGCTGAGATCTCTCTCTCTTTGTGTGTGCGTGTAAAGACGTAAGCATATATCGATTTTTTGATTCTGTATTCTTCTTGTCATCTGTGTAGTGGATCTATTTGCCGTGGTAAGCTCTTTGCTTCTTTTAACTGGTTGTATTCAACTATCGCTATGGCTACGTTTGTTCTCTGTATTACTTTATGTTTGACGGGTGGAGTATGTATTTTTCCTCCTAGGCTATAAAACTCTATGGGGGATTTTCGGATTTTGTGCTCTTTTTGGCATTAAAAACATCGTGCTTGTTGAATTTCAATATCAAGTGAATTAGATCTATGTTATGATTTGATTTTCTATCTCCTTAATGTTATCGGTCTAATAGAACTTCTATGAATTTCATCCGGTAGCCATAGATTTTAATTTCATTGTCTTCAGCTGATATATCTACTTCCGGTGATCTGCAATGGTTTTCGTGCTTAGCTAACTTCTCATTGTTTTGAGTTTAAATATGAAATCAATAGCGTGCGGCACTTAATCTAAAGTTTCTCGTACTATTTTGATGCTGAAGAGGAACTATATTCTCTGTGTCTCTCTTTTAACACTACATGTGCTAATTTTCAGATTCGTCTGTCTGTTTAGCCGACTTATTATTTTGAATTTTGAATGAGAAATTTCATTAATTGCTGGAAGGGACCATGTTAATTATATCATGCTCCTCACAATTGCTGTTATCTTCAAGCCAAGGAAACTTAGTAATTTATCTGTTAGATGTATTTTGCCTCTTCAACTTGTACTAACATGTTTTTGAGCCAAAGAGGAGCATGCTATTTTTTAATATATTTATGTGGCCATTTTCTAAGTTAAAATGTTAAGTGTTACTAGCTTTTTATTTTTTTGTTTCCAAAAGTGGTGATAGCCTATGCCTTTTCTAGCTGTTGACTTGATGCACAAATAACATAGCTGACCAGTAGGGACAAATTACTTCAACTTTTGGGATTTTGTTCATATCTTTTGTGGCTGTAGGTCTTTTCCATTGTGTGTTGTAGCTGCATGTTTTCTTTTTTCTTTTTCTCAAATCTTCAGGAGCCACATGTTGATGCCGGTTTGTATATTGAGTTTATGATTTTTTTTTCTCTTTTTACCTTACTTTAAAGTGTAGCTTACTGATTTTACACTGATTGTGTTTTGTTGTGTTGAATGGCAGGCATTTTTTTGAGGATCATTTCCCATTTATATACGTCTGTTTGTCACATTTAACACTAGTCAAAATGGTAAGTAGACCAATTTTTTTTTTTTCCATGTTGCTGGAGATTTTGAAGTTTTCTGATGGAGAAATTGACGTGATGCCTGCAGGTGAAGTTCACAGCTGACGAACTTCGCAGGATTATGGACTATAAGCATAATATTCGTAATATGTCTGTCATTGCTCATGTTGATCATGGTACAGTAGCTATCTGTTTACTTTTTGTATATAAATAATGTTTCTTTATCCAGTCGGCAATTACTGTCAGATGATTCCCTCATTTCATGGTTCCAGTACCACATTGATATACTATGTTGAGCAGTTTTAAACAGTTCTACATATTTTGTGTTTGTTTGTGACCCACCCCCGCATGGGTCAAACGGTGGTCTGGATGTTTCTGTTGTTTTTACAACTACAAATCACAGAATCATGGGTTGGATCCACCACCTTCCTCAGTGTTGAATTTTTAGTTAATTCTGTCTTCACCTCCAAATTTTGACATTACTTTTCCTTTTCTCAAATTAATATTGCTTGTTCTTTTTTCCTCAAAGGGATTATACTTAGAGCTATTGCTCTTTGTGTTTTTGCTGACTTCTGTATACTCCCTAACAGGGAAGTCCACTCTTACTGATTCTCTTGTGGCTGCTGCTGGTATCATCGCCCAAGAAGTTGCTGGTGATGTACGTATGACAGATACCCGTGCAGATGAAGCTGAACGCGGTATCACCATTAAGTCCACTGGTATCTCACTTTACTATGAGATGAGTGATGAATCTCTAAAGAGCTATAAGGGAGAGCGACAAGGGAATGAGTATCTTATCAATCTCATCGATTCACCGGGGCATGTTGACTTCTCATCCGAGGTGACAGCTGCTCTTCGTATCACTGATGGTGCCCTTGTTGTTGTAGATTGCGTTGAAGGGGTCTGTGTTCAAACAGAAACTGTCCTCCGACAAGCCCTTGGAGAAAGGATCCGACCTGTCCTAACTGTCAACAAGATGGACAGGTGCTTCCTTGAACTCCAGGTTGATGGAGAGGAGGCATACCAGACATTCTCCAGAGTTATTGAGAATGCAAATGTCATTATGGCCACATATGAGGATCCACTTCTTGGTGATGTTCAGGTGTACCCTGAGAAAGGGACAGTTGCTTTCTCTGCTGGGCTCCATGGTTGGGCCTTTACTCTAACTAACTTTGCAAAGATGTATGCCTCTAAGTTTGGAGTTGATGAGGCTAAGATGATGGAAAGGCTTTGGGGTGAGAATTTCTTTGATCCTGCTACAAAGAAGTGGACCACCAAGAACACCGGCACCCCTACATGCAAGCGTGGATTTGTCCAGTTCTGCTATGAACCCATCAAACAGATCATCAATACTTGCATGAACGATCAGAAAGATAAACTGTGGCCCATGTTGCAAAAGCTTGGTGTCAGCATGAAGTCTGATGAGAAGGATTTGATGGGGAAGCCATTGATGAAGCGTGTTATGCAGACATGGCTTCCTGCTAGTAGTGCCCTCTTGGAAATGATGATCTTCCATCTTCCATCGCCGGCTACGGCTCAAAAATACCGTGTTGAGAACTTATACGAGGGACCACTTGATGATCTTTATGCTAATGCTATCAGAAACTGTGATCCTGAGGGGCCTCTTATGCTCTATGTTTCAAAGATGATTCCAGCATCTGATAAGGGCAGGTTTTTTGCATTTGGTCGTGTGTTTGCTGGGAAGGTATCAACCGGTTTGAAGGTCAGAATAATGGGTCCCAATTATGTCCCTGGCGAGAAAAAGGATTTGTATGTTAAGAGTGTCCAGAGAACTGTTATTTGGATGGGAAAGAAGCAGGAAACTGTTGAGGATGTACCATGTGGGAACACGGTTGCCTTGGTTGGTTTAGATCAATACATTACCAAAAACGCTACCCTGACAAATGAAAAGGAAGTGGATGCTCATCCAATCCGAGCGATGAAATTCTCTGTCTCACCGGTCGTGCGTGTTGCTGTTCAGTGTAAGGTAGCGTCTGACCTTCCCAAGCTTGTTGAAGGTCTGAAACGGTTGGCCAAGTCTGATCCTATGGTTGTTTGTACCATTGAGGAGTCTGGGGAGCATATCATTGCTGGTGCTGGAGAACTGCACCTTGAGATCTGTTTGAAAGACTTGCAGGATGATTTCATGGGTGGAGCAGAAATCATAAAATCGGATCCAGTTGTGTCCTTCCGTGAGACAGTTCTTGAGAAGTCATGTCGGACTGTGATGAGCAAATCTCCAAACAAACACAACCGTCTTTACATGGAAGCTAGACCTCTGGAGGATGGGCTTGCCGAGGCCATTGATGATGGGCGTATTGGTCCAAGAGATGATCCCAAGGTTCGGTCTAAAATCTTGGCTGAGGAGTTTGGTTGGGACAAAGATCTTGCAAAGAAGATTTGGTGCTTTGGCCCTGAAACCACTGGTCCTAATATGGTGGTTGACATGTGTAAGGGAGTTCAGTATCTGAATGAAATCAAGGATTCTGTTGTTGCAGGTTTCCAGTGGGCTTCAAAGGAAGGTGCATTGGCTGAGGAAAACATGAGGGGTATTTGTTTTGAAGTTTGTGATGTTGTTCTTCATGCTGATGCCATTCATAGAGGTGGTGGCCAGGTCATTCCAACAGCTAGGAGGGTTATTTATGCTTCCCAAATAACTGCCAAGCCCCGACTTCTGGAGCCTGTGTATCTGGTGGAGATCCAAGCTCCAGAGCAAGCTCTTGGTGGAATCTACAGTGTCCTGAACCAGAAACGTGGGCATGTGTTTGAGGAGATGCAGAGGCCAGGCACCCCACTATACAACATAAAGGCATACCTTCCTGTTGTTGAGTCATTCGGTTTTTCAGGCACCTTGAGAGCTGCTACTTCAGGGCAGGCTTTCCCCCAGTGTGTGTTTGATCATTGGGACATGATGTCATCTGATCCATTAGAACAGGGATCACAGGCAGCACAGCTTGTCACTGAGATCCGCAAGAGGAAGGGTTTGAAGGAGCAGATGACACCACTTTCTGAGTTTGAGGACAAGCTTTAAGTCCTCTGCAGGGGTGAGAGAGAGAGAGAGAGAGAGAGAGAGAGAGAGCTTATTAATATGTTGAAGCTGGGCAGTATAATTTTTGTCTTTTAATTTGTTTCAATTTTCCATTTGTCCGTGTTAGTACTTTAGTTTTGTGCGAGTTGCCCAGATCTTGTGTTGTGTTGTGTTGTGTTGCGATTTTCAGAAGTTTACATGGACAATAATGTTCTGTTTATTTTACGTGGTTGTTTCTTGAACTACTATTTCAAACATTAATGCTTCTTGTCCAAGATAGACAGTTAGATGTGTTTCTGATGCTAAGATGGCGTGTAGATGCATACATTCATACTCACATTTGCTTACGTTGCTTTGAAGATCGAGTAGTGGTGGGTGTCATTTTTTTATTGCCGTTAATATGTTATAAGTTGTGCATTTTTAGTTGCATTATAGTTTGTCGTTGATTAGTTAAGCTTGAGTTTTTCCTCTTGTTTCTTTCGGTCATATATGTTGTTTCTACACTTATTCTAATCTTATGTTTTGGGTGTTGTCAGCAACTGGTCAATGAGTTGTTCCACCTGTTTTCTTTCGTTGAGATTCAAACATTTTTTCCGAGGGATTTTACTTCATTTTCTTCTGAATGAGAAATTATCTTCTACTCTTTATGTAGCTGTACTGCTTCTATGTTCTTGCCACAAGACCTTCCATGGGTCACGGAGATGTATAGTTATAGTATCTTTCTGTTTCCATTTCCGCAATATTTCTCCCTTGGTCCTATCGCGTTTGTTTTCATGTTTAGACACGATGACAAGGAGTACAGGCCGGTATAGGAGTAGCAAGTAAGTAATTATATTTAAAATGCCTAGTCTTCTACCAGATGTCATATGGAGTGGCTATATTTAGATGCTGAAAAGAAGTTTGGGGGAAAACCGAAAGAAAAATAGAAGGTTGGTTCTTAGTCTAATTTCTTCGCAAGTTTCAGCTATTAAAGTTAATTGACCAATGATTTCATAACAAAAGTAAGAACCTAGTCCTCTAAATATGCAGAATTATCATCAATAACACAATGAAGTCACGTTTGATAAACAAGAAGGAGTATTATACTTAGCCACAGACCCCTCTGATTTGCGGACTGTAAAATTCAGTTGAGTAAGATGGTAGATTACTAAACTCAAACCTACTTCATATAAATCTATTAAGGGGAGTGCTTTGACTTCCTTTTGGCATAAGACTCCCCCAAAGCTGTAGTATGGGTCTCGGGATTGATCTTCTCAGCAGATTTTCGTTTCCCGAATTCTTTTGCTTTATTCTGCAATACAACCAATACACTATTACACCACCACACGAGAATAAATCATAGATTCAGAAACACATGGATGCATATGAGTTTAAGTCTTCTCTATTTCAGTAGGTCAATACATTTTGCAATAAAATTTTTAAGTCATTTCAAAACGTATTACCTTCAAGGACATGGCCATGGCAGCCACATCGTTCCTGTCATTATTAGATATACCAGATTCCTGCTTTGTGGGTTCCTGCAAAAGGCCAACCACAATTAAATGAGAAGACATACAATATCAGCGGAAAGTAAAAGACATGGCATGATCTTTCAAAGCCAAACCTTGAGAGGAACAAATGCTTCTACCCTTTTTCTTTTGTTTTCAGCAGCCTTTTCTGCCTGTTTCTCTTCCCACTTCTTTGCTAACTTCTTTTTGCCACTTAAAAAGTACTCACCACTTTCCAATTCCAGGTCAAACTGTAGAGATTCAACATCCCGCAATTAAATTTCGGTCACCAAATAGAACCGAACAGAAAATGGAAACTTGGTGGCTAAAATAATGGATACTGTAGAACTGTTTCCCTCAAACAAGATGAAGGAAAAAAGTATAAATCATTGTCATATGAGCAGAAATGCAGGGAAGGGGAGAGGAACAAAAATGAAAGGAATGAAAAAATCAATCTCATCTGTGGCTGAAGTGAATACCAGATTTCTGTAGGCTTTTCTACCGGGGAGAAAAACATAGGTACATTTCATGCGGACCACCGGTTTCCATCTAGATTACTGCTTAATTAAGCATCATGGTATCTTTTACATGACTAATAAAGTTGCAAATAGTACTTTAATCCTCAAAGAAGCTTATGATGGGTCAAATTCCACTAATATATACTCTTTTGATCTTAAGGGATAAGTTTGTAGCACTTACTGGTAGGCGGGAGATCAATTTGTGCGTTGGAGTTCAATAGTGCATGTGATTAACCAAATGCATTTGCAGATATAGTCTAAATCAGCTGATACATGTACTCTATTACATCACAGCTTCACCAGTTCCACTCAATTGTACAGGAGAATTCACTCTCCACTTCTGATGGGACCACAAAAAATGAGAAGAAAACCTCTTTATCAAACCTCTTTATCTATGATGGGACCAGAATATGACTTTAATGGTTCTTTCCTTTGGCATCATGGAAATTGCCTTTCTTTCAAAAGTGGGTTGTCTTACTTGTTATTATGTGCATTGCCTAGTCAACTCCGTTGTCAGATTTAAGATTTGGCTTTATCTCGTGAGAACACAATTAATTTGGCCATTGGCATAGTTATTCAAGCTAACTTGAAAGTGTTATATTATCATAAAGAGAGTTCTCACTTGTTTAATTAAATCTAGCCTTTTACTCCTCCTTTGTGTCTCCAGATGTTGTGGATCCCATTTTACATTCCAACTTCAATAGGTATAATCCATGTAGTTGTAGAGCCATACAGTGAAAGAACTGAAAGCAATTGCGATAATAACTATCTGAGTACATAAAAGAAAAAGAACCCCTTTTTGGCAAAACATTTAAAGCAATTGGAGCTTATTGGCTTAAACGAATTAATTCGGATACTCCTTTGCATCATCATACTGAACGAGGGTTGAGAGGGGGTAAGAGCGACAATTAATAAGTAATCTAGTTCTAAGAATTGAACATATTGATGCAGGCTGTGTCCAAAATGAATTTATTTTAGCAATTGTTTTTGTGTTGGATATGTTCACTCGGGTATTGTGTGCACGTCAAACTTGTTATGGGCATTGATGAACCTATTGATGTTCTTTTTGTTTCAAGTTGCAGCATGGGACACTGACACTTGTGCCAACAAGTTTGTTAATGTAGACAATTGTAGGTGGGTAAGATGGATGGTGTTTCATCAACTGATAAAGTGTTTAGCTTTCGATATATATTTGTAGATATAATTATGAAGTAAAATACACATATGTATCTCACATCAAGGTAATACGTGCCTGGAATTCCTATTTAATTACTTATAAGGATTGACTACTCAAACTGGTATTTGGAATAAGTTTGTTAGATTTCCTTATCAAGGGAAAGTAATCTAATGCATTGAAAGCTACAAAAGAAAGATTGATTAAATTTCTTCTGTATTGCACTGCTACTACAATTACTGCTACTTTACAAATTGGATTTTCTTTATCTACTTACTTAGTCATAGACATGAAGGCCTACCTCTACCTTATATGTTGTATGATGACAGTGCAATCACTCGATGGTTCTTGAAGAGGTAAAAAAAGATATGCTTTTCATTATTGATTTTGTTATCAGGCCGAGTGGTTTATAAATCATTTCTGTTGTGTTGTTTGAAATGGCCTTTTCGTTCTGATAATTTCGAGTTTGAGATACCATGGAAGTTTTGGGTTGTTTAACATAACCATCTATAGGAATAATGGACTTGGGGCCCTTAGAACCATTACAGCGGCAGGAGTGGTCATTATAATCCTTATCACTGTACTGCTGTAGGATATAAATGTTTTCAGACTTCAGTGCTTCGCTTTGGCTTTTCCCATGTACTCTTTGTGTGTCCTCTAGTGACTTGTAGCAGTGATTTGCATGCATAGAACTTATATGATTAAATTGGCATGTTGTTCATTTCACGGACTACAGGGTACCTGCAAGTTTACGTGGCACATATATGCTGGATACCAAGAATAATTCCACAAGTATACAATTATTAGGAGTAGATCTCAAGGGTAAATTTTTTATTTAACTTTTGATCCTTTTTTAGGATTACAATGCATAGTGCAGGAATGCAGTCTGATGCAGCTAAAATGCCAATTACAGCATGGGAGATTAGCATCAGCTATTGTTCGATAAGGCATGAGTTTTGAACTGAACCGTTGGATTTGTGATCGATTAAAGATATTCAAACTGAGGTAACGTCAAGGTATATGATCGATTCATCTGCTGATTACTGGCTGTTGATTTTGGAGATGACACTTGATAATTTGTGATAAAGCTTGTATTCTGCTCTATTCCACAGGAGTTTACAGGGCACCTATTAAAAAGGATTTGATTTGACAGCCAAGCATGCGTTAACTGTAGTGCACAGAATAGGCATCGGCTGTAGTTCAATCAGGCATCAAATTTCCAAAATCAAATGTCAATGGAGATGATGACACAATGGGAGGATATGCATTTCTGCGTCAACATTAATCATCCAAACTTGTAAGTGATTGTACACTCAAGTTGCTGTGATAAGTGTGTTGATTAATCCTTCCGCTGATTACTGGAACGTGGCTGTTCCTGTTCAATTCCCACCATATTAAGCGGGCCTAGGTAAAGGTTAGAAACAGTAATCATACCTCATAGATGTAAACTATAGGAGGACCATTTCACAGTCATAATCATGCAACTTGGGATTGATTTTCGAAAACAAGTCCTTATGGTCCATTAATGGTGGGCCAGAAAATTCCTGTATTTACGCGTGGAGGGGTTGTCGACACTACATTATGCATTCCCATGTTGGCTATGATGCCATAATTTCCCACCAATTTACCTGCTTTACAGTGATAGCTGATTCTTTGTTATGTCACCCTCAACTTTCTAGTCCCTGTCTGTTTCACTAAAGTGCATACTTCCAAAAGGGAAGAAGAAAAAGATAGCAGGCTTCAAAACATAGTACATTCATTCAGTAATCTTTTTTGGGATTATTATTTTAGACTCATTTTTTCAATATAGCTCATAGTGAGGCCAATCTAATTTCTATCTATCCACATAGAAAATCCACACACACTGTTAGATATCATGCGTATCCACTAAATTTCTACGTGTCTCTCTCACCATTGGGCACTTTGTCTAAAAGTGTTGTAGTTGTTCCTTCTTGTCTACATTAGCCTCCACTTGAAAAGCTAGCCACTTGTATCATTCATGTTGTTAGGTTGGGTAAGTAGGGAATAAATACATACATATATATATATATATATATAGCGAGAGAGAGAGAAAGAGAGAGAGAGAAAGGTGTCAATCATTCTACCCCTAGATGGGGGAGACCACTATCCAAAGCCTCATTAATGGGATGAGTAAGTCCTGATAATCATAGCACATGGATTATGTGTCTGTGGGGAAGGCTGATGTTTACACTTGACCACCAATCTGTCACAGCCTTGGAATAGAATAGTTGCAATAGTTGCTTCTTTTCCTTTATGCTTCTTCATCTGTAGTGGGGGTTCTTGCATTCAAAAATGCAATAAACAAGGCCTTTTATCTTTAATCCCACTCCACCTATCAGACCAAACCCATCCATCTAAAAGTTAAGACTCATGGCAGGGGACTTTCTAAAGGGATATAGTTTATGCTCTTCTTCTAGGGAGTTGTGGATTCTTATCTTGTCCCACCATGCCTTTCTAAAAGACTGGAAAATCTCCCTCCTTTAGGAGTAAAAGATTTCAAGCCAGGATCCACTCAAATAAGGGCTGCATTATTTTCAGAGTGTTGAATTCAAAGTACATCATTGTAATTGTAAACACTTCCATCCAAGCTGTCACCCACAAAACCCACAAAAAAAAATGTTGCAATGTTTAGTACATGAGGTTTTCATCATTTTGTTGCCATCCTAATTCTCGTAACCCCAATTTGATTAGTCTTGGGTCTTCCGGTTTTTATAATAATAAATGATGGTTGTGGGTGAGGTATTGCTGTGAAAGTGAATGTGTTATCAGTGAACAAAGAAAAAAACAAAATCAATTCTAAGATGATGGAGTAGTACAAGTGATGCCCCCTTTTCACAAGGGAAGAAAGTTGGGAGCAGCAATCATGGCCCCCCCACCCCCCATGTCTCTTTGATTGCTTCCAAGATTATATGCTTTTTACGGTTCCAATCCTTGAGCAGCCCCACCCACCTCAACTGAAGTTTGGAGAAGAAAAAACCCCTATGGACCAAAGAAGTATCTGGTGAAACTTCAAAAAAAAAAGTATATTGACCCTTGATTGGGTGATAATGGAAAAAGGTTAGGAACATTTCAATTTGAAATTGATGTGTGATTCGATGGGGAGGGGGGACCAAAGCAAAGAGGTTGAGAGATCATCTATTTCACACAGTTTTCTTGTATTCAATTCTTTCTTCTTTTTTTTTTCTTGGGTTTAATAATCAGGAGTATTTGGATCAACTTACCTGCATCTCTATTAATCATCTCTTCGATCTGGTTAAAAATATGTAATTCACCCTAAGATTAGAATATTCATGAAAAAGAAATTTCTCATAATTTGACTCCAAAAATTTATTAAATTTCAAACTCAAAATATGTAAATTTATAATTCAATTCAATCAATGGGTGTATGTTAGTTGGCTTTCTTTGGCATTTTATGTATTAAATGGATGATTCCAATGTGCAATGTACCACTCAACCAAAACACACAACATTATATATGCCAGTTTGACGGTTCCATTACTCGGGTCCCCTCCCTCTTTCCACCCCCAACTTACTAGTGGAATAAAATCCATTATAACCAAACGCGACACGACACATATTATAAATCTGATGGCGGTTTAATGTGGGGCTCATCATCACTAAATACGCACTCAATGGTGCTTGATGACTTACTTAACTGGAATCAAATCAAATCATGAATATTTTATCTTCTGCTAAATAAAAAAACAATTTCGACTGGTGGGTCTTGCTTGGCCAATCAACCACTTTTCCAATTAATCTAATGTTTTGAAAATTACCCGGCAAGCTGGTTCAAACTGTTTTTGGAAGAAAATATCTTATACTTGATATTGAGGAGTTGGCTGGTGATATGGACTCCGTCTACTTGGTCGAACAAAGCGCATCTAACCCCAAAAGTCAGAGGTTGATGGGATTTGGCTGAAACATGAATTAGGGTGTACATTAAAAAACGTATGACTTTTCGATTCTTATTTATATGGGTTATAATTTGAAATTCTAAATTTGAGGCAAATTATTACCCTGTATGCACATAATACGATACACCCTGGGTCCCCCTCCCTCTCATCCCCCCTTTTCTCCTTTCTTTTCACTTTCCGGGACTCCCTAAAGCCGTGCACCAAGGTGCATAGTACGATGCAATGCACACACCAAGCTGCTGTCTACATGGTGGTGGGTGGGTGGGTGGGTATTTACTCCCGAGGGGAGGGGACACCCTCTGCCAAACAGCGACATTTCCGGGAGTCCTACGTGTCAACCTTTTACACTCCACGTGTCACTTTCACGATCACCGTTGACCCCACTCCCGTCTATCAGTTACCACCACCACCACGCCTCCTCCTACTCAGCAATAAAGAATTAAGTAAATGTTTGAACAATAAAAAAACAAACTTAAATGTTTGATTTGATAGCTCAATTCATTTTTATATAAAATAATTAAATTATTCAAGTTTGACTAATTTTTAAAAAAAATAAACTCGAAAAACTCAATTCAAATTTGTAAAGTCCGATTCAATTATCAATTCTGCCGACCATCAAAAAAAAAAAAAAAAAACCACATGGATGGACACAAGGCAATACTTGTTTCTTAATTTATAAAAAACTGGAAAATAAAAAATATACAGAAACATTTTCACTGCTCAAGAGGAGGACAGTATAACGTGAAGACTAGCGGTCTTGGTGGATTTACAAATGGGGCAAGTGTGAAGGGACGACCCGCATACAGTACAAAGGCAGAGATGCCTGCATGGCAAAATCAACACGCACGACTCCTGTTTCCCACACTTTCTACACCACTTGTTGCTACCATTAATGGAATTGTTGCGAGTAGCAGCAGAATCACCACCATTATTGCGACGGTGATTACCCCTCACCACCTCTCTCTCTCCTCTACTCTCCGCTAAAGTGCGCCATTCATCGTCATCATCACCGAAGTTGCTGCCACAACACGACTGCGCATCGTCATGAACTAATGCCGGTGCCTTGGCTAAACCGCTGTTTCGAAGGAGCTGCGTGTCCTGAGCATGGGCTAGGACTTGCTCGAGATTGTTTCTCAGAGCGTTGGCCGTAGCCTCGTTGGCTTGTGCCAACTCTCTCCATATCTGGTTCTCTATAAACAGAGACTTCACTTTCTCTTCCAGCGCCCAATTTAACTTCCCTATCTTCTCGATTTCCTCTTCCTTCGTCCTCAACTTCTCCATCATACCTTCTTCCATCGCAGCTATAACCCTTCTTGAATATCTCCTTCGTCGCTCTCCATAATCCATCTTCACCTTCTCCATCTGTTCATGCACGCACAGATAGATACCCATTCCATTACCCTCCCAACAATTAAATAAATAAATAACACATTATAAATACACATGCACTTCAAAATCAGTTAATTTCGACAATTAAACCAAATATATGAGCACAGACACAGAGAGATCAGACTCATACATGCCGAGTGATAAAACGATCGATGTCTAACTGTTGCTGTTGGATCTGCAACGAAATATCTTCCCCAAGAAAAGTGAAAGATCCGCGCCGGTTGGCAAGATTCTGATTCTGAACGTTCGGGAAGGAAAGCAAAGGATTGATTGAATCTCTAGGGCGCTTTCTTGGAACGGGAAGGTTGTAGGTTAGGCCACTGTCTGCCGTCTTTGCCGGAACTAAATCAGCAATTATAGATCCGTACATCGGTTGCAAAGTCTCTGATAACGGAGGAACTCCGAATCCTATTGGGCTGCCATATGTATTTTCGTTGGCTCCAAATCCATTCATCATTTCTCTGTACATCTTATATGTCAGTGATTTTGAAAGAGAAAAAAGGACGAGATAGAAGGAGAAGAAGAGGGGAAGTTAATGAATAACCTGTTGCTGAGAAGCTGAGGAGATAAGAGACTGAGATGCTGAGCTTCAACTGCCATTGACAACTACGTAAGTTTCCGGTTAGATTTGTCTCTGGTCCGCTACTGCAAAATTAATCTCTATTTATGTCTTTTTTCCCTGCGTATTGCTTGTGTCCTGTGTAGAGAGAGAGAGAGAGAGAAGGGAAGAGAGGGGGGTGGAGAAAGGTAGAAAAGCATGCAATAGGGGTGGTATGGTTGTGTGGTGGGGTTTATTTAGGGTTTGGTTTGGAGAGAGAGAGAGAGAGAGAGAGGAGAAAATGGACTAAATATTTGTTCCCACATCACATCACATCATCCAGCCATATCACTAATAATTAATAATAATATATTATTTAAAATAAATAAATTTTATTATTTAAAAGTATTAGTTAGTCACTGTAATGGTTATTAAAATGGTAAGATCCATAATATCAAAATATAGTAATTACACGTGAATTATAGACAGACGATGCTTTCAAGTAATCTCCCTTCAATTCAATTTATTTATTATATGGTACAATGGCGAGATAGGATATGGTACAATAGTGTAGATGTTGATGTTCTATATTATATACTGTTAGTCTCGGGTAGTACAGACACAGGGTCACACAGCATTAAAATGCCAAACGTGACCTCCTCCAGATCCTCTGAGATTCACGACCACCAAAAACATTGTTATCCTTCCTCCTATTTGCCACTTTCCACAATAACATATAGTACTAAACTTGTTAAGTAAACTAGCTAAAAAACACTGCCTGCTCCTCACCATTTTTCTTTATGTCGGAGTATTGAAATTTTATATTCATATTCATTAATATTTTATTCAATCCCATAAAATAAAAGTCATATTTATGAGAGATAAATCTCATATGACCTGACCTAAAGAATTGTCAGGATTCAAATTTAAGATGTTTAAATTTATAATTTGTCTCTATTATTATTTATTTACTTAAATTACCTTAGAGTTGTGCACTTAAAATGTTTTCATCCAATTGTGATCGGTATGAATTTTTATTCCAATCAGCTTGAAATTTAGTGTGCGTGAGAGAGAGAGAGTGTCCTCCCTAGGAAAAAGTTGAAAGGTAAATATATGGATGGATTCCCCAATGAGCATTATTTTCCACTATGCCCCATTATTGCTCCCATCAAACCCACCAAAATCTAAACAACACAAAAGTGAAGTGAAAAAGGAGCAAAAGAAGATAATGGGTCACAACACATATTGCATTTGTATTATTATAACTCAAAAAAAAAAAAAAAGAAACAGAATTAATCAATGCAATGTTGTTGCCACGAAAATTGTTCCACAAATTGCAAAAGTGTATAGATAAGGGGGCGGGTGGGGGGGATCATGTGTGTTGTGCTTCCCCCACTTTTAAGGGCAATTGAAGCACCTTGACTTGTTTGGGCCTTCTTTTTTCCTTTCATATTCAACTTAAAGTTGCATTTGCTTAAAATATTCTACTGGGAATCTGCAAAGTTTTTTCCTTTCCTCCTCCTTCTTCTTCTTGTATTTATGGATGACAATGAGCCTGACTGATTCACAGGCTAATTTGGTGGAGTTGATGTATGAGATTCCCAAAAAATGATAGGGAGAGGAAAAATATTGGGTATAATGGTAGAACCACGTTATTATTGTCATGCGGTGTTAAAATTTAATAAAAATATAACAAATTAGCTGGTAAATCCCACGTATTATTGAAACTATCATGTCAAGTCATTTAATAACCAACAATGTGAGATTCACCTTATCCATGAATAGGTTTATTATTAGATAATGATATCACGTGTCAATGATAATGTAATGTCACCGTTACACCCAATATAGAGAGAGAGAGAGAGAGAGTGTGTGTGTCTGGTTTGGCCCAACCCAAATGTAAATATTAGTTTTTCTGGGTCAGTGGCAACATGAATATTAAAACTGTCCAGCCCAAGAGGATCCAGTTAAATGGTTTTGGGCCTGAGAGTTCCCCACTTCTGGATCTCAGTAGCTGACGTGGCAATATGATTGACTGACCTGGAGGATAAGTGGGAAGGACCCGACGGAGCGGAGGACGGTTAGAAAACCTGTCTGTGAAATGCAGACGGCCATGGCTCCTCTAAATCAAGCTCCCTTTCCCTCTAATGCACGACCCCTCACCTGTAATTTTAGTACTGGGTCTATTTCTGCTCTGGGATTCTCTCTACCATGCCTTAAATCTCCAACCCCCAATCACCACACCAAACTTATGGTCCCCAGAGCTTCCATTGCTGTGGAACAACAGACGAAGCTCGCTCTCATCAGAATTGGCACCAGAGGGAGGTACTGTTTACTATTTTCCTAACTGTCAGTTTCGGTAAGGTTTAGTTTTTCCAAGTGTAGGATTGGACGCTTGCTTATAAATCATCTATTAGTGTTCGCTGACCTAAAATGCTACGAGTGTTCCCATGTTTATGCCGAGATTTCGTTATTTTCCTCAAACAATTTCAATATTATACTCTGTTTCTTTGGAGCTTATTGCCGAAGTTTCTGATATTTGGTTTGTAACGTCTTCAATTTGAATTTCTTGGGAATGTCATAGTCTCCTGGGAAAGGAGTGGATGACAGGGAAAAATGGTTGCGTCCAATTTTGACATACAAGTTTATTTATTTGCTGGCAAAATGTTTGTGATTATGGACTCGCAATGTTGCTCAATTGACTGTAGAAATAATTTAGAGTTAAGTATGTATTCATGCCATCTCAATTTCACAATCCCTACTATTGACCTGTTGCAGATGATTTGTTAATTTTTTTTTTAATTCTTGAGGCAAATGATTTGGATTCATCAGCTCTCTTACAGTAATTTTTGCGTGTAGGACAGTCCATTAGCCCTTGCACAAGCTTATGAGACACGAGACAAGCTCATGGCAGCAGATACAGAGTTGGCTGAAGAGGGGGCTATCCAAATTGTTGTAATCAAAACAACAGGTGATAAAATATTGAGTCAACCACTTGCAGACATCGGTGGAAAGGGTCTGTTCACAAAAGAAATAGATGAGGCACTCATAAATGGTGAAATTGACATTGCTGTCCACTCAATGAAAGATGTTCCAACTTATTTGCCAGAGAAAACAATTTTGCCTTGCAATCTTCCGCGTGAGGATGTTCGGGATGCATTCATTTCTTTGAGTGCCAATTCACTAGCTGAGCTTCCAGCAGGAAGCACCGTGGGTACTGCTTCACTCAGAAGAAAGTCACAGATGCTCCATCGATACCCATCTCTCAACGTGAGTATATTCTGTTGTTTGTCACAACATGATCTTGTGAGCATGACCAAACAATGTCTCAAGGTATAGTTAGGAATCAATTTTAATGTGCTGCAAGATCCTGTTCTGTTGCTCAAGTAGCGCATTGTTAGTTGCCTGGGTGGTTCTTTTCGATCTTGATTTCCAATGGGTTTTTGTGTATTGTGTTGTAAGTTAAGTTCAATATTGGGTTGACCATCAGACTTGCACATCTATGTTATGTCAGGCAAGACATGATATTTCCCTATGTAAGCCAAGGCTTAAGGAGGAATTGTCTTTTTCAGCTGTGTTGCAGTTAGTCTAAAAAACTTTGGTTAGTTTATTAATAAGATCAATGCCATCTCTATGCTGCTTCTGTTTCATGTATTTGGTCAACATCATAGGTACTGGAGAATTTTCGAGGCAATGTTCAGACAAGGTTAAGAAAACTAAATGAAGGGGTGGTCCAAGCAACATTATTGGCATTAGCTGGACTCAAACGCCTAAATATGACAGAAAATGTGACTTCCATTCTTTCTCTTGATGATATGCTTCCAGCTGTTGCTCAAGGGGCAATTGGAATTGCCTGTAGAAGTGATGATGAGAAAATGGTATGTTGCATTCTGTTTTCTCAAGCTAAGTGCCAATAATTTTCAATTTTGATTTTCTGATCTGCATGTCCAATCACGTCATAAAATTCCAGTGATCGTGTGGCCCTTTAGACTTTGTAACAGCTTGTGAGCTGTTGCGTTGACATTTTCTATTATTGTTTTTCTAAGCACTATAACCTTGTTTTTTTAAGCACTATATCTATACAAGAATCCCTCAAAATGGTATATTTGAAGAAGTATTGCCAGGGGAGCCATACAAATTAACAGTTTAGCACGTGCATATTTGACACAATTCTTAGATATGGTCAATTTATAACATTTTTGAACTATGATTGTGAAAGTGGGAGGTTAATGTAGACATGGTCTACTTAGTATGGGTCCACGTATAAATAGATCGGGTTTGCATGATAGTGAATAATTCTGATCTAAATGGGAAAAAGTGCAAAACTTGAGTTGTCCAATGTTGCCAATGAATTTGACCTTATGCCAATTTATTTGCAAAGTTAATTGTTACATCAGCCTATCATACTCTACATATGCCGCTCATAGGATTTTTTGCAGAATTTGCAAAAATGTTGTCTCTCTCTCTCTCTCTTCCTGGTGATGAACCATGAGTAGTGCTTGAATGTTGCAAGTTGTGTGTTAACTAATATAATGGAAGTTCTGTGTTAGAGGTTTTGTATATTCGGTTTTTCTGAGAAAACTTGGATACATTCACTCTCTTATGAACTCCATCCGCTCCATGCTTGTTTGATTTTTTCCTCATTTTCTCCCGCTGTAATAACAAAATTCTTTTTATGCGGCCTCTTTTATTCCTAGTCTTATTTTGAATTTTTGTTGCAGGCTAATTACATAGCCTCTTTGAATCATGAGGAAACCAGATTGGCAGTTGCATGTGAGAGGGCTTTCCTGGAGACACTTGATGGTTCTTGTCGCACTCCCATTGCTGGATATGCTAGTAAAGATGAAGATGGAAATTGTGTTTTTAAAGGGTTGGTGGCCTCCATAGATGGAACCCGAGGTAAAATGTTTGTGGCTTAAGGATCATATATTTAAGACATTACATTTTGTCTCCGTTATACTAAATGATTACCGAGTTATTGCTTTATTTCCTCTACTTGTTTTAGTTCTTGAAACTTCTAGAAGAGGCCCACATGCTCTTGAAGATATGATTCTGATGGGGAAGGATGCTGGTAAGGAACTTCTCTCACGGGCTGGTCCAGGATTTTTTGATAGTTGTTGATATAAAGAAGATATAAGGAGAAAGATCCAAGCTTCACCTTCTACTCGGTTAGATTCAAATGAGTTCATTCATCCTTCTTTTGTTGTAACATTGGCGGAAATAGGTTTTGTGACGTGTCAGTATGCTAGAACAGTAGTCTATCAATCACATTGGCTTTTGATCTTGAACATTCTTTTAATGATTGAATCAACATTCTCTTTTTTCCTGTGTGGCTCGGGCACGCATGTTGGAGTGGAAGTGGCATGAATGCACTCACTTATACATGGAGATTATGAATTGGAAGTTGGAACCAGGGCTACAAGGTCCATATTTTGTTAACTTTGCTTGTTTAATAGGTTAAGCAACATTGACAGTTGAAATAGCGGATCTCCAAAAACAAACAAAATGCTTCAGCATTCTGTAATCACGGCAAGCAAAAGTTTGCTAGAGGGATACATAGCAAAATTACAAGGGAATCTATTTTCTTCTTCTTCTTCTTCTTTGGGGTCATGCACAGGAAGAATTACAACGGCCTACAAATTTTATTAATCAATTAGGCATATAAGTTTAGCCATCAAAAATAGATAAAGGTGCAACCAATATTTTATTCAGAGAATCATGGCTTCTAATCTTTCTGTTGTTCAGTTAACTCCGCGTTCTTTTGTACGTTAAATAAGAGAGAAACTGCACAGAAACTATACATGTAGTTGCAGCAGAATTCAAGGTAGAAATAACTGGGCAAAGTGTAGGATTTTACATAATATGTTATAATAAAATATTTCACCACTCAACAACTGCCTTGGGTAAATGGTGCCGTAGATAGGAGTCCGCGAAAAACACACTTGCACCACTCAACCCTAATATCATAAAGAAAAACCTTATAAGCAAAAGACGATGTCACCTCTCAAAACCAATCTCTGAAATACATACCTTCAGTGGCAATTCCACTCCATACCCAGATACCCTATACTGCTTCCAATTAACTTTCCTTCCACATCAACATAAATCACTTCTTTCTTTGGCCAACTAATTCGTTAGCTTCATCAACCCATGTTCTAATTTGTACATCCTAGATGTATAAATCATCAAAAATATTGAATCCAGTCCCAACGATTGATGCAAAATTTGAAAAGTTATGGCAGATTAAGCAGAAAATTAGTTTAACATAAGAGCAAAGCAGTATTCACACAAATTGATGAATATTTTTGCATTTGATCCCACCATCATTTCAATGCATTCTACATAAACATGTAGTCAGTCAAATGGAAGCCCACAAACCACAATCTAATCATCCTCACGCCCATCCAAAATTATAAATATCCAAGACAATCAATAATAGAAACTACAATCAGATTGTTTTCTTCAAGATGTTTCAATGAAAATCAATATAAAAAATTCACAGCAACCACACATTAAAACATGTAGTTCACAGGCAACCCACTATTAACTACATTAAAAAACACTACATCTAATAACTTCATCAGGAGCAGGACTGCTCAACCAAAAATTGTCCCAGAGAAAATTACAAACAATTCTAAAACCAACTAAACTGTACCCAAATATTAAACACAGAAATCAGCAAAAAGTAAGCATCTATCAAACCCATCTGAGTTTCCCCAAATAAAGCATGTATCAAAAGCTTTAAACCCAAACATAAAAGTTAAACTGGATCATTATCAATTACGTCTCCAAGTAAACACAAATAAAGCCCCAGACTCATATTCAAAATGAACCCATTAAGTAATAGCAAAACCATCAAATCTCTTTGTTAAAATATCTAGCCAAATAAGATAAATAATTCCAGCTTATCAAAACAAGAACAGATATACTGAATCATTATCCAGTACTTATCCAATTAAACACAAATAAAGCCATAGAATCACAACTAAAATGAACCCATTTAAGCAATAGCAAAACCATTAAATCCCACGGTTAAAATATCTAGCCAAATAAGACAAATCAAATTATCATATGATAACCATCTCCGTTACACTCAAAATAACAAATAGAAGCTCTAAATAGATCCAAACGATCCTCATAAATCCAGTCTTAATTATAACAAAGGAAATTAAAAGGAACAGAATGAAAACGTAAAGCAAGACAGACCATTTTATCTTTCCTCAGAACCTCAGCTTCGAGAAAAACCACCTGTTCTTTCCACTCTTAAACCTCTCTTCAAACCTCGCTTTGGCCTCCTTAGCAGCCGTGATTTTCTTGTCACGCGACTGAAGGGCGTCGGGCGTGACGACATCCTTGAGCTCGACGTCAAGGGTGTAGCGCGTGGGCATTATGTGGTTATAGTTAACGAGCTTGATGAAGCACTTTACACGAGACTTCTTGGCGGTCTTCTTGGCCGAGTCTTTGCGGATCACCTTCGATGGATACTTGGCTATCCCTGCAACCAAACAGTGAGAGTAGGCACGGTCGCGAGTGCCATCGTCGAAGGGCTTGACAATGACCGCCTTGTGACCGGCGAAACGGCCTTGGAGCATCACCACGGCTTTGTTCTGCTTCAAAAACTTCACCATTTTCGCCTAATTTACACACCCTCGGAGGAGATCTGTCTGTTTTGGCCGCTCCGTGAAAGTGAGCGTGCTTGTTTATGTACGTAAACCCTAAGGTGGATGAGGGGTATGAAATTACCTAACTAACCCGCTTTTTCATTTAAAGAAAATTTCTTGGGTAAATTACATTAACACTCCTGACATTTGACTTTATTATACGAACACCTTCTTATGTTTCAAAAATTATAGAGACCCCCAATAATTAAACGGAGTTAATGATTTTAATAAAAAAAACTACTTTGCCCCTCTATGTAACACAAACTCAAACTCCAAACCCAACCCCAACCCCAACCCCAAGACCTATCCTTAACCCAAACCCTAATCTTCTCTGTTCTTTCTGCTCTTCAATACCTTTTCTTTGTTTCTGTTCTTTCTCTTTCTCTCTCTTAATATACATATATACCTTACACCTAAAGGGAAGAACTAAACCACCAAAGAGCTGGTAAAAATTGACTAAATTTCAGTGGAAGTTAATGACGAGATGAAAATTAAAGAGGGTGTGAAGGAAAAGGCCCTAGGTATGCAGATTCTGGAGCCAGAGGTCGAGAACAATTTATCCTTCATATCTGTGAAGATGGTGGTGGATGGGGTCTGTATGCAATGGTGCCAATGCAGTAGCATGCGTTGCAGTGGGTGGCGAAGGCTTGCATTTCAGTGGGTTCGTTGCAGCGGTGGTAGCGTGCGTTGCAGTGGGCTTGTTGCAGTGGTGGTGGTGGTTTGTGGAGCAATGGTAGTGGTGGTGGTGTTATACAGGGAAAATGGGTAGCCGAAGGAAGGGGATTTTGACCAATTTTAAATGGTAAAACCGGTGATGAAGTCTGGCAGGAGGAATTCATTAGTAATTAATTGAAATTAAATAATAATAGTGGAAAACAATACGAAGTGTAATTATTACAAGTAAAATTACCCACTCAAATAGCTATAAAAATAACATCATATAAAACATAACTAGAAATAGGCCAGAAGAATTCATTTTCTACTAAAAGGCGGGAAAAATTTTTTGTACAACAAATAACAGTTTGTTTGAGTCCCCCTCGGCAGATAACATTCAGATAGTGAACGAGGATATCATCACATCATAACCACTACCAGCACAGTCCAAACAAGTGTTCTTGATCCTTTGAATCTCCCAGGTAACCCCCTAATCTTTGGTCAATTCTCCAAAAAAAAATATCTATGATAACAGCCTCCTCCACGGGCTATGGATGGGCTGCTGTGTCTAGGTGGTTCTGAAGAGCAGCTCGGCCAAGACAGGAAAGAGAACATATATAAAGCCATGATTCAGTAAAAAATGTATCTATTTACTACCTGAGGTTTCTATCATATTGGATAAAGATTGCACACCATAGGGCTAACAGATGAAAGTCCAACAAATTGGACAAATAAGCTGGTCGAAAGTGGCCACAAATTGCAAATCCTAGATAAGAGTCATAAGACAGCTCCCACAAGAAGTGAAGGAGAAATTGATCAAGGGCTGCCACATCTTGAAAACTCCATAGATTCACTCCTGCAAACACAGCATTGGGAGCATTTTGTCAATGGCGATCAAAGCAATCATAAAAGAAAATTTCAAACCCAACTCTAACCCCGGCCACCCCCAACAAAAAACAGAATAGGGGAGGGAGGAGGGGGGAAGGAATCAGCATAGCTGCAGAGATTATACTTGAAAAATCAGGCATGTAAAACGTCCATAACACAACAATTTGACAACAATAAAATAGTTGGCCATTTCTGTGGATTAGAGACGCTTATGAGTGAATAAACTCCCCCTTGGTCCTAAAACAAACACATTTATCATAGTACGTAAATGCACATGTGTGCGCACACTCACGAAAACCACAAAATCATATGAGCTTATATTATCAACGACATTTAGGAGCCATATGGAATACAAGCATGCATGCTCAGGCAGATATTAAAATTGCACAGAGGAGTTACAGTTACAGTGAGCATCATGTTGGCTTGGCTGTCCAGGTTCAATTAGACTTAACTCCATATCATGAGTCGCAGTCCATCCAGGTTCATATGTCTCAAGAAATCCAATCTTTGCCTTGTTAGGTAAATCGTGGGGATGAACAAATGGAACTCCTGCTGGCCACCCAATCTCCATTCTTGTGTTGCCACATGGACTATCAAGAGCATGGATGTGACTCTCACATTCCTTCAGGGTGCAGAACCTCAGTTTGATACCCTTCTTATCAGCAATATCCTGAACCCTCTCTTTGAGAACTCTCTGTGCCTCAAGGCGCAACCTCTTGGAAGGTGGCAGAGGTTTACATCTTGAATTATTCTTCCTCCTCCTCATCAAGGGTTTCATAGATCCTGTACCAGCATTTCATCGACCCAAGGACCTGCTGTTAAAATTATGTTTCTAAGAACTACTAGTATAGAAAGAAGTAATGACAAACCATGAAACCAACATCAAGAGAATCCAACCAATGGTACCACAAGAAATATGGTTAGGATTCAAATCCTCTGATTGACAAGCAGATGCAGTAAGATAAACTCAACACACACCAAGTCATGATTTTTTTGCATTATGCTCCACTTAAAAAAAAGTCAAACAGTAATAACATTTGACATCTTTTGGTATTTTATGCTATGGAATTATTTGTTTTTACAATTTCATGCAACAGCAGAAACCAATGCAATGCAGTTCTATATCATGCTTACGACCTTGGAGAGGGGGATGACAAGACAAAAATGGAGAATTAAAACCTAATAGTATAAAAAAAGTGCAAAAAATTGTGACCACTGTTAGATGCTCACTGAGGCTAAATGTTGTGAAATAGAATAAAATATGTGAAAATGGTAACTTAAACGTGTTCAAAGCCCGAAATAACTATTTTCTCCCAGAACCCACCCTGACCCTCACCCAGGGAAACAAAAGGCTGGCAGTAGAAAATGATGACATCTAGGACCAACAAAGGCATTTAATCAAGTTGGTAAAAAAGCTAGACTTCTGGTGGTTTACACAATTGCTTTATAACAAGTCCATGGGAAGATGTTAAACAACTTCTATGAAAGCAGAAAATCATATAGAATGATTCCTACCTTCGTGAGACGTAGGGAAATTGAAAGTTGGGAAATTGTGCCGGTTAAAGAGTTGATCAGCAGGGTGCGATCTCTGCATGAAGTCATCAACTGGTACTGGAAGCTGGAACTGAGCTTCAACCCCATGACCAGCTGCTCTCATCTCCGAACAATTGAGACTGGTCATGGATTTAGGCATGAGTTTGAAAGCCAGAGAACACCGTCCAAACATATTACCCTGCAAGTTACTGATTTCAATCCGATGTAGTGCAGGGTTAATGTAGCCTGCAGTTGCCTGGTACAGTGCGAGCCCAGTGTAAACAATGGCTTCTTGGGGACCAAGATCACCATCAACAAGGACCCAGTGACCATGAAAATCTCTTACTTGTAAACCTGCCTTATCTGACTTGACAACACACAGGAGGCTTTTATCAACCGGATGCTCATGATCAGAAAACATGACTAACTGACCATCCTCTTGGGTCGTCATATTATGATGCTGAGCTCCCTGAAATGATGGCCTCGCATGACAACAGACAGAGAGCACAGAGGATGATATTTCTCGATTTCTCAAAGGAACATTATCAAGTATTTCAGTGAATGGTGAGCTACGCAGATTTAAATAGAAGCTGATGGCATCAAGTACATCTCTGGCTGCTTTTCCAAGAAGTGAAAATATGTCTACCAAACCAGCCGGAGGAAATTCCATTTCATTGTTGGGCTCTGGGGGGGTAAGTCCTGGTCTAAAATCATAAGTTTCTTGCCAGAGTTGAGGGTTTGCATAATAACCAGAGGTCTTGCACCACTGACTGGGGTCATTGGTATCAATAATGTCAGCAGATGGATATGACGGCTTTTGATGGAAGTAGCAGCGAACGGACTCCAAACAAGACCTCAAAAGGGCCCCATCCCTCGCTGGTAGTTGGATGATGGCCGCAGAATGTTGAGCTAGTGATTGTGAAAGAGTCGAAACTGCTAGTTTGTATGAATCAGAAGGAAGGCCTTCGGAGGGTATCAGATCAGTGAGCGTCACACGACCCAAATTAGGCAGGCCATTGCCTGCCATGGAACCCTTTCAAGATGTCAACTAACGTAAGACTTGCACAACCTACGATGTGTTTCTTTAAGGCTGCATAAACAAAAAATAAGTCACAGTAATCATCACAAATGTCACTTGCACAATCATTTATGCTCTCCTTTTAAAGGGCATGAACAATAACTTAAAATAGTTTAGAATGATATTAAAGGTTCATGTTTAAGACCAAAAAAAGAGGTCTGTGTCCAAAGTCATAAACCCCCGCATCTGGTTTTGTTGCTCTGTAGTAACGTAGGCAGTTTCTAGCTAAATTTACACCAATAAGAGGAGCAAACAACCAGAGTAATATAGTTTGACATGAACGGATTGTGATTATTATTTTGCTTTATGGGGACCTGTACTCCCAAAATCAGTTTAAGAAGTACATATAACGCAAGAATTTCACATTTTAAAGTTTATTGGTCTTCAGAAGTAAAATGGGAATGCAAATTGAGCTTCAACCTGGCTAACTCAAACATTTGCTGCATACGGTTCTCTAGTCTATCACTTGCCATTTCAAATAATGAGCACTCCATCACTCCACAACAGGAAAAATAAAACATGGAGTAAACCAGAAGATAAGACCCCCAGAAGAGTTTGACTAACAACCGCACACATAAACACACGCACACGTATAACATAATGAATACATGTACTTATAGAGAGGGACAGAGAAACGATAACTGACCTTACAAAATCGCCCGGTCGGAATTAGGGTTTCCCAAGATTATAACAATTCGAAGTCCGAAGGAAGAAAAAACAGAAACTAGATTGACTCAAAGTGAGAGGTGATGTGACTGTAGAGAAGTAGAGGACAACTTGACGCCTGTTTTTGCTGTTCCTCCCTTTCTTTCTCCTCCTCCTCCTCCACCTCCTCCTCTTCTTCTTCTTCCACTTTTTCTTCTTCTTCTTCTTCTTCTTCACTCGTTCCCTGAGAACCCTCGCTTTCACCTGAACATCTATTTTTGCAAAGAAGTCCTAATTGTTTGTTATTTCTTAGTCAGACCCCAAATTTCAATTCTCAATTGTACTCTTGCAAAGTGGGCATGCCGCAGACATCGATTTTTAAGGAGTTTAAGATGTATCTATATAAAGCTCTTTTGCAATGTTTTTTTAGGATAAATTACATGAAGACCTCTTGAAATTTATTTATATTAATTATTAATATAAACGGACTCCCTCAGGTATAAAATATAACACCACCACCCCTAAAACTTGATATAGTCTAACATATAGCCCCTTGGTGTTAAAGACCGTCCAAAACACTGTTAAATCTCAATGAAGTCATCATATTCTTGCAACAAAATTTCTAAATTACTCCTAAAATATCCATCATTAAATCACTAAATATTTGCAAAATTCAAAATTTTTGCGTTCGTAGCAAAATCTCATAAAGATTTGCAGTCGGTTTCCTTCATCATCTTTCCCCCTCCCCCCTTCTCTCTCCCTCCACCACCAACACTCCCATCTAGCCACTTATCTTATCCTTTTGCCGCCTCTACACTCCTCCACCTTCACCACGCCTCTGTCGTCGACACCACCAAACCACCCATTACGCACAAGCAACTTCACCCACCACTACCGTCTCTCATAGACACTCACCCACAAACAACCACAGGGCACAATCTCCACCATGGAAGCACCGCTATGCGGCCCACCCACTACCACCATCACATGACAATAATCTACCACTCACCACCACCAATCTACCTTTGTCGAAGCCAATTCCCTAATACCATCTCAATTGACCCACTAACCCCTAAACCACATCACTAATTTATCTTCACGAGGTTCATCCATAGAAATGCAATTGAAGTTTTTTCTGTTCAGTTGGCTTGGCTGCAATTGTGGCCCTTGAGTTTGGGGGCTATAGCGAGGTGGAGGTTTGCTGGGGGGAGGGTCGTGGTGAAGAGCGTAAGAGAGAGAGGCTTTGCAATGGTGGGTGAGCAGAAGAAGGTCAGCGGCAGTTTGAATGATGAGGGGGTAGCAAATGGGCATGGGTGCTTTGCGACTTTTGTTTTTGTGTGTATGAGAAAGAGAGGAGGGGCTAACCGGTTTTGCAGCCGGTGGGGTGATGGTTTTGGGTGGTTGATTCGTTGCAATTAGTGGAGACGAATGAATGGTGGTTATGGGTGGTTGATTGGTTGCAATCAGTGGTGGCTATTAGGTTTGAATGAAAGTGCTGCAAACAAAAAAAGAGAGGAGGAGATTTTATTGGTTTTGATTGTGTCGGTTAGTTTGGATTTTTAGGTATGGGTTAGTCTGTTTTTTTTAATATTTTTTATCAAAGGGTAAAAGTAGATATTTTGCAACTTTTGTTAGGGTTGTTAATTGGCGGTTACTGATAGGGGGTCTCATTGTGACTCACAAAAAATGTGCCTAGTTATTGGATATTGATAGGTGAATACGATGACAAGAGAAAAATTAATACCAATGGGGATGAGTGCTGATGCTGAACCCCGCCAGGATCTCATCTGTTTTCCCTTGTGAAAGGGGCCTGTTTGTAAAGACACAGATCAACGAAGAATATGGCTGCGCTTCTGTTTGTTAATACTTTCCGGGGGAAAATGTTGTGTTTGTTAACCACTTTCCCTCCTGTACCACCCCCAACATCATTTTGAAAACCTAACAATTGCGCTTGAATAGAATAGAATACACTTTTCTTCTTAGTCACATTCACTTGGGGGTTTGTTTTATTGCCCTCATAATCCCGTGATATGATAGTCCCACATGCACGGGTTACAAAGACTGCCAAGAAGATATACAATCACACTTGACAAACTGCACATATCCCCTAACCTTGTTATAGCAAAGTTCATATCAGCAAGTACAAATATGAAGTATGAACAGACGATAAAAATAGCTGCAAAAGTTCGAATAAACAAGTTTTCCAGTAATACATGACAATTAATCACACAAATTCATAACAAAGCTGTGTTATATACTCATCACCAACACATTGCAAGATTCATCATGACAGGAGCTTTTCCTCATGGAAGGGATATTTTAATCCTTACCAACTTGATCTTGTTGCCCAGCCTGCACCAGGCAGCTAAAGCCATCCTAATACTTCTCTTGATTCCATACCCATCACAGCAATGCTTTTCATGGAAGTCTTCAACACAACTACAATACCACCTTTGTCAGAAGCGCACATTTCAAATCTCATTACTCCATAAATTAGGGCTTACGAGGCAGTGAACTACTGCTGCTGCTGTTGCTAGTGCTTCTTCCTCTTAAAGGCCTAAACAGAAACAAATTTTCAGAAAACTATAAGCAAGAATATGGATACTCCAATTACAGAATGACCAACCAAAGAATGCCAACAAGTAACCAAGAGAACAATATTGGTAAAGAAACCGATCCCCAGAGAAAATAAGGATGTCAACTTCTTAGTTGCCAGGACCAAAAGTTCAGCCAACCCCAGCATTTATAAACTGCATAGTTAACACTGAGGTGCTATTGGGATTTGGGTGGCTCATTCAGTAAGAAGAATGTGAATGGTTATAACTAATGACAACAAAAGGAAATAAAAGAAACTGGGAAGACAAACTTAGCATGTTTACAGCTCAAGGACGATCGTATATAATGACTGAAAACAGCTTACTCGAAACCTGAAAGGATTTTTCCACAATGCATAAAAATGCAAGTTATCAGCTGTGGAGACAAGTTAGGAAAGGAGTTGGAGCTCATAAAGCCTTTTTCTGTCATAACAAGTGTCTCAGATTTTATAAATCTTATTGTCGGGAAGGAAATCCCATATCAATAGATTTCATAATGGTGTCCACATCAACATCCTACCACAGATCAATGCAACATCATGCCCCACCAACGGAAAGCCCTTCAATTATTATGCACTAAATAAGCAAAACCAAAAAAAGAACATTTTAACCTTTATGTGCTTTGTTCTTGGGGAACTTGCACCCCTTGTAACATTGCTCACCTAAAAGATTAGCATTCGTAGGAATTACAAAGATAATGAAAGAAATAGAGAGAGAGAGAGAGAGGAAGGGGGGGGGAGGGGACTATGCGGTGAAACGAACGACTACCTTCTAGGACTACGACTTTTTGATATTCTCCGGGCTACCTGTAACAATTGGAATATAGTAAGCTGCCTTGGATATTTAATGAAGTGATTCTATTAGCAATCACAAACAACACTGGTGAGGGTGATAATCGAGACGAGATACTTAAGTAAGCTCGAGCTTGACTCATATTCTAAAAGAGCTGAACTTAAACAATTTTTTAAGATCGCTTGGAAAAATGAGCCTAAAAAGCTAGGCTCATTTATATGTAAAATAGTTAAACTACTTAGGTTTGGCTCAGACTCGAACTCAGCTAATTTTTTAAACAAGCCAAGTTTGAACAATTTTTCAAGTTCATTTAAACAATCAAGCTCATCAAGCTCAAGCTCACAAAACTCGGTTCGATTAATACCCCTAAACACTAGCACAAACCTTTCGTGGGCTTGGAGATGAATTGGATGATGACCTCCCACGTCTAGCACCGGGTGCCCGCCCTCTGATGTAGATGAATGCACCACATGTAAGAGAGATTCAAAAGTAATTATGTATTTATAGTACCACTCAAAAAGGAGAGCAAAAAAAAAAAAATTAAAAAAGGAGCGTAAAAGCAGTGAGATGCAGATCTAACATGTAGCAATCATTACACCCTCTTACATAGTAAACTCTAGTTGCACAAAATAACTTTTTATTTCCTCAATATCATAACTCAATAACATTATCCAAATTCAATTATTTTTGCAATCTAATGGCATGGATAAACTAAAAATGCAGACCCTTCACCAAGGGAACACGACGAACGTGACAGACCTAAATACATAAAGACACAAAAAACAAAAACAAAAAACAAACACACACTGCATATTCGTAAAAAAATACGAATACTAAGAATGTTCGTGAAGCCTGAGTTTACACATTTATCTTTCCATCTTGTTTTTGTAAAGCACATTAAATATCACTGTAAGGGGAAAGACTCACTTTATATACTCCACGCACAAACACATAAAGTAGCGTGATCATACCTTTAGTTCATAATCCAACGCCTACTAATCAATAATACTAAAAATTAAATACAAAAACTTTCCAAATATCCTTGTGCACTAATAAGGAAATTATAACACCCTATTAAGTGTGGTCTTAACGTGGCTAAGACAAAAATTAATAAGTATGAGAGAAGAATATTCTATTCCTTCTCATCAATGTTTTTCATCTCATGACATCACAAAGAGGGCATAAAAAAATAGAAACAAAGAGAGAAATCAATTTTGAATCACGGAATAAATAGAACAAAAAAAAAAAAGTTAAGTAGACAACCATGTCCAAAATAATCCACATATTTTAATAAGCTTTGAGTGTTAATAATCACTTTAAAGCATCATACTCCTAGGTAGATCAAATCACCCCAGTGACGTTATCCACAAAATTTTATGTTTTAGCTGTCATCAAATTAAATATTCTTCCTCTTGTAATTCTGTTTTTCTTCTATTTCAATGTGAAAGCCTGGACAAGCCAGCCGTATATTTATTTTCATTCTTTGTAAAAGATTTTACCTTATCTAACTGGTCAAATTTATGAGTGTCAATATTTATTTACTAGTCATAACCCATGACTAGGCACAATGGAACATAACATTTGAGCACTCAAAAAATCGATCTCACTATATTAAAATTTCTCAACATGTGTATACTATCGTATATGGATAATGTCTGAAATAAAAATTATGTTAAATTATAAATTAATCAAATATTAAATAATTGAACATGTGATAAAAATGTGTGATGTAATATTTTTAGGAGGAAAAATATATAGGAGATAAAAATTCAAGTTGGTAGGTGTTTTATTATATAGATTTTTTAATTTGTAAAATATTTGATTTAAAAAAAATAATACACTTTCATAATAAGGATAGAATCCCAGTTAATATGTCATTGAAACTTCCTATTTAATAAAATGTTAAATTTGGTAGGTCTAGATATTTAATTTTTAGCTTCTTTAAAAAGTGAATTTTAGATCATTGATCTAACAGCTCACGCAAAAGATATCCACCAAAGGCTATGGTGTAAAGCTTCCATGATCACACTATATATTCAATGCTTTGAATGACACAATTTCATATCCAACAAGCAACAAATGAGTTTCGAATTGTAGACCACCCTTCCTTGTTTGCTAATGAGGCAGATACTAGACCAATATGCACTTACCACCTACAAGAAAGCTTTCACATGCTTTGTTTTACTATACACAAAAATCCTATTGAGAGCGAACGAAAGGAATGGAGAGGATCCAGATATGATCAACCTTTACCTTAGCAATGATACTGATAGTATAGCTATAGACTGAGGCAAGGCCCGTGAGGGATTATATATAATAAAGAAGGAAATTTTGATTGATTGAATGCGAGAGCTTATTGATGATCATTAGTGGTGAAGTCCCTCAAACAAGAAGTTTCAAGAGTTTCAAGGGGTCTAATTGATAGCGATTGTAGAACATAAACCAACATGAAGGTAGTTAGTTTCTCGTAGATCAAAGATCTATCCTCTTCCTGCCAATGGTGCCTTTTTTCCTCATAGACATACTAATTCCTGATACACTAAAGAAGAGACACTATCATCAACTATTTGCTCTTGCTTTGTAAGATTGGTCGGGCATGTTTTGTGCCGTTTATTTTCTCTCTGTCATAATATGGGTCACCAAGGCCAATGGAGAGTTGCTAGATAGTTGCAAGGGGCCTGAACTAGGAAACGCTCTTGGAAGAGTGGCGATACAGCTCAACTTTGTCAGATGAAGTAGAGTTGGAAGGAGAGAAAATAAATGGTTTTCGAGTGCAGTGAGCTTTCAGGCTTTAAGAGTTCCATGGGCAGATAAATTCCTGCGTTAAGAATTTTGGATGAGCTTTAACTTGGAGCCTGATGGCCTAAATACATGGGCTAACAGTGCCTCGAAGCTCGAAGAAGGCCCCCCCTCCCAAAAAAAAAAAAAATCATGTACCATAATAGTCATCAGTTTAATTATGCACTGAAAGTTGCTTATAATAGTCATTCTCCGTTTGTTTAATTTACAGCAGATGCAAATCTGTGTGCCTCCAAACCTGCATTGAGATGTCTTTGACATTAAGTAGGAATGTGCAGCTGTCCTTAGGACCAAGGCAAAGATGGGAAAATGAAGAGGATAGATTACACATGCTTTAAGACAATTAAACCAGCAAGCCCATCTTTAACCAGCCAAAATTTGTTCCTAGTTCAAATCAAAACTACCCAACCAAAAACAAATTATTTAAGTGAAACTCAGAACAAATATATACAAAATCTTATCCATCATTTCCCACCTTCTCGCACTCAACAATAAAAACAAAAATTATGTTGAGTCACGTTAACCGAAGGCCTTCCAACCCACCTCCCCTATCTCTTCACATAAATGCTTGGCAAACGGAGATAAAATATAACAACAAATTCAATTTCAAATACTAAGCTAAAGTCTCACATGTTTCAAATAAGGAGGGAAAATCAAAAAGAATTAACACAAAATGAAAGAGCACATCACAATCCGCACATTCACATGTTACCTCTGAGGAGAGATCGATCTTGAATAAGAACGAGCAGGCCTTCGAAGAGGGGAGCGGCTTCGCCTATGTATTGGAGACCTTCTGGGTGGACTTCGAGCTCGTCTAGGTGAACTATAAATAAAGAAATTGCTGTCGTCAGAAACCAACTAAAGCATGTGCATGTGTTCAAAGTAACTTTTGACATAATCAATAGTAATCACAGTGCCTACAACCACAACTTACATATATGCTTCAACACGTACATATTGGAATAAACAAATACAAGAAAACCTTCAGGATTGGTTGCATGAACGCATTGTGCTCTATCCAAGACACAATCCGACTGCCAGTAAGATGTCATAAACTTTCTGGAAAAAATCCAGCCATCCGGAAGCCATTATATCTAAAATATTGTTATTTCTCTCCTACTTCCTCCGATAGCATATTCACATGTCTTTCTACAATAGTTTATGGCATACAATTTAAGAAATTATGGGAACATACATCATCAAACAGAAATGGTTCTATTTAGTCAGCAGGAATAAATTACCGGCGCCTTGGAGGAAGGGGAGAACGTCGTCTAACTGGACTACCGCGCATCCTTCGGGGAGAGGCCCTACTTAGACAATAATTAGTCCAAAACTATCAAAACCAACTGGGCTACTGAAGAGAATCATGTAGTGGTACACAACCTGGGAGATCTATTCCGCCTGGGTGGAGAGGAGGGTGAACGACCTCTGGCAGGAGATGCAGGCCTCCTTCTGGGAGGTGGTGAATCACGACGTCTATAAGGAGACTGTGCTCGACGACGAACAGGAGAGTCTGCAAGTCGACGAGGAGGAGAATCTGGGTTTCGTCTTGGAGATCCTCTTCGTGCTACAGAAGATCTCCTCTGTGATGGTGAAAGAGGTTTCCTACGGGGAGATGCTGATGAAATGAAAATTTAGAATAAGTTACTAGCAACAGACAGCAAATATATTAACAACACTCGTAACATATAGTAACTAGTCATAACTCGTGCCTAAAGACACGATAGAACATAAAATTCAATCCCCAAAAAATCAATCTCATTATATTAAATAATAATTTTTTTTCCTTCATTTCTTTGATTACATCATTCAAAATTTATTTTTACCCATTATTTTCTTAAAACAATTGACAAAATTTTCTCAAAATACATAATTCGATAAAATTTTCTCAACATATGTATACTATCATGTATGGATAATATCTGAAATAAAAATTATGTTAAACTATAAATTAATCGAATATTAAATAATTGAATATGTGATAGAAATGAATGATGTGATAGTTTTGGGAGGGAAAATGTATAGTGGATAAAATTCAATTTCCTATGTATTTTATTATATAGATTATAGGGAGCATACATTCTCTCTGCCGCTTTGGTCCATCTGTTTCAACATCAGCACCATCAGTATCAGATTTAGGAGCATCTCTTCTTGAAGGAGCACTAGTCCTAGGGGGCGATGAAGCCTTCTTCCGCTCAGGTAATGTAAACCTGGTCCGAACAACATTCCCATCAACCTGGGCCTGCACTTGGTAAAGATCATCAATATACTGTGCAAGATATACCACCAAATCAAATCATTGTTCATCCACATCTTCATCAACGCATACCCCATCCATGTAAAACTGAGCTTTTTCGGCATCACCTCGCGTCTTAAACCCAACATATCCAAATCCTTTCGAGCAATTAGCCTTGAAATAAGAAACCATTTCACATTACTTAAGAAGAATTTAAAAAAAAATAATAATTGATCTGCACTGTAAGAGGAGGTCCTGTTGTAATGACTTACAGTATGATCCATGGCCAACCGCACGTGTACAACTTCACCAAAGGTACCTGCAAATACGTACAATATCACAATCCCCTAAAGCACTTAATCGAGAAAAAACAGCACATATTTTTGACAGACACCAATGACAAGAGAAACAGAAACCCCAACTGGGCATTAGTTAAATCTTGACTTTTGAATATTTGGAGGTTTATTTGAAGCATATATATGAGTTCCTGTTCTGACTGTGATCTAACATCTGCAATTTCCTGCATTAAAATAGCAATTAAAACACATGCCTTTCTTGAGACATACCATGTAACAACAAACCTACAATGCTCAAAGAACCTACAATGCTCAAAGACCCAAACTATTCCTTAGTGAAGCATAAATTTTACATGTCCCTAATTTGATCCATCACCTCACCGTATAATTATATAAAAGCACCATTTCTCAAGCCAAGACTGAAAACACTACGATAGACAGCACTACGTAGTTCTAATGGTTGCATTAACTGACTTGAAACAGCTGCAACTCCCACTAACCACTGAAAACCACATGTAAAATTTACAACTTCTGCCAAAAATCACCATTTCCTTCACAGGTGGGACTGATCCATACAAAAGCAGCTGATAATGAAGTGCTTATCTAAGTACAAATTAGAATAAAATTGTAATGAAGACTCAAAAAATACAAATTAGAATAAAATTGACACTTAGACCCAATCTAAGTAGCAGGAAGAAGTGCAGGACCCCAATTTACAGAGCCCTAGGATACAAAAGTTTCAGACAAAGCATTCATCCAAAAAAGTTGGAAGGGTGACGAAATATTATATGCAAGAGAGGGTACTAGAGATGAACTGCCCAGCCAACACCAAATGACGTGTCTATTGCCAAACCCCCATTAGTTGAACTGTCAGGTGTTGTTGGTTTTTATGTTTTAGAAAATAAACTTCAATAAAGCAACACCTATTTTTTTAGGGCTACATAAAAGAGAACTGTACAAGAAACCAGAATGCGCCACAACAGATCAGAATAGGAACATACTGAATATTTCTCTCAAATGGTTTTCATTCACGTTCCTGGTGAGCTGATCGACGTGAAGAACAAGAGACTCGGGTATAGGAGAAGCTTTTCTGTAATTAGAGTGAACTAAATAAGCACAACATAATAATGGTTATAACGATAAAGCATATGCTTTAAAATCTTCTCAACTTGTAAAAACAGCAGACCAGAATTCAATTACAGCAAAATAAAATAAAATGTTGTCCACTATTGTACAACAACTCCAAGAGCTTCCTGTCTTCAAGAAGTTAGTCTTCTGCCAAAAGAACACATTGTTTAGCAGAAAATTCAGCTAAGTTGACTACTAACCCAAATACTAACACCCAGTTACACTCCAGACAGTAATTTCATACATTTCATGAAAGCAATTTCCCTTCCTCCAAATTGGGAAAGCTAGTATATGCTGGAACTTCTATGAAATTTAGATATCCCAAGGGGATTGCTATTGCCAATCAACCATGGCTTCTACCAAAGCAGCTGATTTAAGGAATCACTTATTCCATAGGCTACCATGTTTGGTCATTGCTTTGATTTTTTTACGGCAATCGAGTCATGTCATCCTATCCAAAAATTATTAATAGTTATTGTATACTGCACACAATTTCCAGAAAAATTAGCCATGAAATAGGGAGTAAGAACACTATCGGTTAGTGGCAGTCCATGTGATAACTACTTGATTAAAAAAGTATATTTCAAGTTTGTATTGCTTTAAATTCCCCCAAACCTACTTTTTAAAGTGTATCCCAGAGGGAGGGAACTAAGACAAAATAAAAAGAAGTAATGAAAAATCAAATATAAAATTGGAACCATATTACTTCTTAAAAATCCAAATGCCAAAAGAAAACAGACAATTAAAATCAAAGCTTTTAAGTACTTTCTCGTGAAACAAACAAGTTCAAACATAACTCTACCTTGGAGGAGGAGAAACCTTCTTCGATTGGGGTGGTGGTGTGCGACCTCGTTTAGCTCCTTCAACAGGACTACAAATATCACATTTGATATCAAAGCACAGTGTCAAACTCATGCAGCAATAAAATAAATGGAATGAATCATCATGGAAAGATATGTACCATTTCAATTCAAACACCTAGAAAAATGACAATATATTGCCTTTCTAAATAAAAATTAATTACAACATAATTCTTTGGGTTGTAATTCCCTTGTTTTTGGGTGGATCTCTTATCCTTCATCTATGTACTTTATTCAATTTCTTTGAAATGAGAGTTTGTTTTCTTATCGGGAAAAAAAAATGACTAAGTTATTCACAACCAGGCCCCTTCTGGCACAGGTCTTACTTAAGCAATATACAAATGCAAGTTTCAGGTCTCAAGGAAAAGAAAGGCTACAAGTAACATGAATGTCTCCCCATCTTCTTATGAGCTTTGATTATTTCCCCAATCACATCAGTCAAGAACAGCAACAAACTTGCCAAAAAATGGCACTCAATAAGGGTGCATTGATGAAGAACAGCATTTCAAGGGCTACTACAAGGAAACAAATTATACACACAATGTGATTCCATTTTAATCCCATTGAGGTAAGGTTTCAACATGTCTCACCATTTCCTGGGGTAAAACATGTGAGTTTGACTGCTATAAATATATGTAAGTTTGCATTTCTCACCGCATATATTCAAAGTAGATTAGTTCATCCTCACCGTTTCGACCTCTGCTTGTAATTTTTGTAAATTCAATAAAGATGACTACACCCCAGGCGCTATGGAATTTGAGCAAATACATGACAACAAAGTTGAGTAATTCATTTATTGACGAAAAAGAAACCTCCAGGATATTCATACAAGGTGCTGTTTATTTGGCCACACTAGAAGCATATGTTGAGTTCTTTTTGGAGCAATAAATCTGTGCGTGCAAGATCCTGCACAATATAAAAAACGAGATCAGATCTTTCCCTTGGTGAACTTCGAGTGAGCCGGTTGAGTGACCAAACACACTGCTTGGGACAGCCTGCAAGGTACGGTGGTAACCTGGAACGGCAACGGGAGACCCTGGGAAAGGAAGAACGATCCTGTAAGGCTGAAAGAGGTTCCTGGAACAAAGAAGAACAAGTTAGAAGGGCGTCGGAGTGTTTTCCGGTGTATCCCCTCCGACGATCTAGTCAGTCTTTGAGAGAGAGAGAGAGGAAGGAGAAAACACTGAGTGTGTATTGTAGTCAAGAGTTTGTTGTTGCATACCCGCTTTACCTTTTGCAAGGAGTATTTATACCTTAAAAGCTCATGATTGCTGTCAGTGTGGTCAGTAGGTGATCATTAGGCACAGGTAGCGTGCGCATTGATTCTGATGAGGAATGTCTTCTCTAATTAACTGTTCGGGGTCCCGAGCAATCAATGCTGGGTCATCGGGATGCCGATGGTACAATGTGCTCCTCTCGGGGAGGATGCAATAAATGCTCTGTATTAGGAGCATTTATTGCCTTTCATTTCCGAACCTTACCGCATTGAATGCGGTCTCATCAAAGGAATGGTGCAATTAATTGTTTGCTTTCCCAAGTCGCGTGTCAGCAACGGCATGCGGTTTGTCTGTCTTTGATGTGATATCATATGTCACGCGTCCATCCCCTATTGGCTGTGACCTCTGTATTCCAGTACGTTCTGACATTACTTGTGTAAGACGAGGTCATGATGAATAGCCTAGGCTAATGACCTGTACGTCAATAGCTTATCCTGGAGTAGAGGAGGCGTCCAGGATGGAGTACCTCTCGGCACCGAGGAAAGGCTCATCTCGGGGACCGAGGGAGGTATGCCGACCGAGGTACATATCAGACCGAGGCCACGTGTTGGTTGTAAAATATACTGAATGTATGATCCTATATGACGGTACCTCAAAGGCGAGGACATTCGTGCACCGATGGTGCTTGATCTTAGCAACAGTGTTTTAGTAAAACCGAGGACACGTGTCTTCATCATAGGGTATTTCAGAAAAGTCCCATCAACTGCCCCCCAGCCTTCGATCTTCTGACACCGAGGACACGCGTCGTAAGGAGACGAAGGGTTTCCCAACAACCACCAGTACTTCATAATTGTCTCGAGCCGCTTTCCCCGGCTTGGGATGTCGTGCGCATTAAATGCGCCGTTTCGTTTTTCGCACCTAATGATGAAAATCGCCTCTATATAAAGGGGGCTCCTCTTCCGTTTTCCTCATTTTGCCATTTCGAACTTCTTCAAGAGAGCTTCTTCTTGAATCTTCGCCGGAGTTTTGTTTCTTCTTCCATCGTCGATTGCCCATTCTTCCTTAAAATCTTAAAGCCAGCAGACCCATCGTTGATTCTGAACTTTCTGGAGGGAGTCGCTTTAAGGTTTTCCAGAAAAAAACTCCGTTTTGACATTCGGGTGAGTTTCAGAATCCATTCTTTTCTTCCTCCTAGCTTTTTGTTTTCCGATTGACTGGAGGTGTCATCCGGTTGATACATAGCGATTTAACCCTCGGGAAACTTCCTCAGGGATTTTCAAGAACAAATACCCTCTTCTTTCTTACTTTTTTAGAGATGCCTCGTCGTCGCCCTGCTCCCGAGAATCCTCAGGCTGGTCCTTCGGGGTCGGGGAAATATAAAGTGAAGGGTGATGAGCAGATTGATAGGTTTAAGGTCAAGTACGGCATTCCCCCGTGCGTAGACGTAGAGGATTATGACCCTGTGTTGCACTCTTCTACCCTCGGGGCCGAGGATGCCATGCCCTTTTATACCAAGGCCATAATAGAGGGAGGAATTAGGTTTCCTTTACCCCCCTTACTTCTTCAGTTCCTTTCTCACTTTCGCCTCTTCCCCGGGCAATGTTGCCTTAATGTTTTCCGAATAATTATGGGGGTCTTAGAGCTCAATAGGCGCCTCGGGGTAAATATTGGGCTCAACGATCTCCTTTTTTGTTATTCCCTCCTGAGAGTCATGCCTCACCAACACTTCTACCTCAAAGCCAGGGACCCCTCCATGTACCTTGTAACTCATCTTCCGGACTCGGACAAGGGGTACAAGGATGATATTCTTATCTTCAAGGGATCTTGGCAGAGAGGTGTTGGTCCCGAGTATAATGACTTGTTATGCCCTCTGGAATGGAGAACGACAAGTACGTCGGTTCCTTTGGGTTTATTATTTCTTTCTCCAGACTTCCCATGTTCATGACTATTTTGTTTGTGCAGATATTCCTGCTCGGGAAACAGCTCCTCCCCCTCGGTCGCTGGTGAACTTTGCCGACCTAATCACGGTTTGGAGATTCACGGGTGACAACGGGTTTGGCCGTGCTGCTCACATCCTGCTGAATTATACCCCCGGGTATAAGAAATTTTCACAGCTTCCTCAGCCTTTTGAGCCTTCGCGGTGGTCTGAACTCTTCGATCAGGCGGCGAGGTTAGAGGTTGAGGAAAACTTGGAGGAAGACCCGGATCGGGCTTCGGAGGCAGAGGTAGAGGGAGTTGCTGAAGAGCTCGGGGTCAGAGAGGACGTTGTTCCTTCAGACGCCGAGGTGGGGACTTCGGGAGGAGACTTGTGGCCAGACTTCCAAGTTCTTCAATCCTTAGACGCCGAGGACGCCCTCGAGGTAGCGATGTCCAGCACCCCTCGCATCGATTTGGGGTTCCTTAGGCAGAGGCAAGCCCTCGCAGCCGGGAGAGGTCGAGGAACGACCGGCGGCACCCCCTCTGCAGGGACCAGTTCCACCCCATCCTCAAGGGTCCTCGGTCGGGGTCAGGTGCGAGACCGGGATCCTCAAGTGGAGGAGGAGAGAAGGGTCAAACATCGGCATGATGGCCTCGGCCGAGGATCCAGGGCACCTCCCGCTCAGCAGCAAAGCGGGAGAGGCCGTGGGTTACCCCCTGCTCCTCCACAACAGCAGCAGCAGCAGCAGCAACAGCCACGACAACAGCAACAACAGCAGCAGCAGACTCCCCCATCCCTTCCGCCTACAGTGGAGGCCGCGGAGTGGAATCCCCGAGCCACTGATCACATGAACCGAGTGATCAGGGTCGATGATTCCATTTTGCTGGATCCTCATGTCGCCAATGCAGTGAGTGAGACACTGCATTTCGAGGCTGACATGGCGGCTCACAGGGGGCGTTCAACGAACGTGTTGTTCCGCTCCATCATCCAGAATTCCCTGGTGGTAAGTTTATTTCTGCTTTGGTTTCTTCTCTCTTGCTTTCCATTTTTGTGATTAACACTTTTTTCCCTCCTTTGCAGGCTACCCAGCAGATCTCCATAATAGCTGCTCGGTACCATGGGTCTAGGATGGACCTCCAGCGGGCCCGAGAGCAGAAGGAGGAGGCGGAGGGGGCCCTCGCCCGAGCCATGGAGGATGTAGCTGCCAGGGACTCTACCCTGGCGGGGCAGGCTGCTCAAATCGAGCAACTCCTCAAGGACGCCGAGTCGGCTAAGGTTGGCGCTGAAAAGCTAAGTGCTGCCCTTGCCGATGCTGAGAGGAGGATAACCGAGCAGACGCGGCGGCTTTCTGCTGCGGAGGAGAGGGCGGTAGGCTCAGAGGAAAGCTGTCTGGCTCTTACCCAGGAGCTGGACCAGATCAGAGCCGAGGCACTGAACAGAAAATCGGAGGAGCAACTTCGGGAAGAGTTTGCCGATGACGTGCTCCCTGCTCTTGAAGAAAACAGCAAGGAGTTCTTCAAGAAAGGGTGGGACGAGGCGCTCCAGTCTGCTGGAATCCCCTCAGACTCCCCGCTCTTCCAAATGCACAAGTATGTGCCCTCGGCAGAGATGGCACGGGCCGAAGCAGAGGTCGCTGCCGAGGATGAGGTCCCAACCCGGTGCAAGTGTCGGTGGATCCGCCCGAGGCAGTGATCGTGGATTTGTCCGAGGACGCCCCGTCGGACCATGCTCCTGGCCCTCAAGTTGCCCAAGTTCTCCCTGTTGCCGAAGTACCTCTCCTGCCTGCCCCAGAAGCTTCTCAACCATTTTTCGCTGACTCGCCCTCGGCTGATGTTCTGGAGATGCCTGGAGCCAGATGATAGCCCCTTTTTGCTTCTTTGATTGTACCCCTTTTATTTTCTTTTGTAGCCTTTGGGGACGCAAAGCCCCTTCTTCTTGAAATGAATGAGAATTTTTTTTCCTTTTTTGCGCACAGTAGTGTTTTTTTTTTTTTACTGTCTTCGGGGCTGCTTGCCCAATCAAGAGGCTTACTCTTGTGTTTGCTTCGGGGACAGGAGTCCTTGAACTCTGTCCCCAGGGCCTTACCCTTGCAGGAGGCTTGCTCCTGTATTTGCTTCGGGGACAGGAGTCCTTGAACTCTGTCCCCAGGGCCTTACCCTTGCAGGAGGCTTGCTCCTGTGTTTGCTTCGGGGACAGGAGTCCTTGAACTCTGTCCCCAGGGCCTTGCCCTTTATCTTTGTCGTTGGCAAGCACTTGAGGGAGAGAATACTTCAAAAGTAATATTTCTTTAGATTCATAACATTCCATGGTCGTATTACAAGTTTCCCATCCATGCCTTCTAATCTGTACGACCCGGCGCCCCCGATTGATATCACTTTGTAAGGCCCTTCCCAGTTAGGTCCCATTTTTCCCTCTGTTGGATCACGGGTATTGGCCGTTACCCTTCTGAGGACCAGATCGCCTATTTGGAATTCTCGCGCTTTGACCTTCTGTTGTATAGTTGGGAAATCTTCTCTTGATACTTAGTTATCCTCAAGGCGGCTTCCTCCCTTCTTTCTTCCACTAGATCCAACTCCAATCCAAGTTGACGGTCATTCCCCCCTTCGTCGAAAGCTTGGGTCCTTATGGTCGGGAGCCCTACTTCGAGGGGTATGATTGCCTCCATTCCGTATGCCAGGGAGTACGGGGTTTCCCCTGTCGAGGACCGAGGGGTGGTCCTGTATACCCACAAAATGTTTAATAGCTCTTCGGCCCATTTTTCCTTGGCTTTCTCCAACCTCTTCTTGATCCCATTGATAATTGTCTTGTTGGAGGCCTCTGCCTGGCCGTTGGCTTGTGGATAGGCAGGGGTGGAGTAGAAGTTACGGATCCCGAGTTGCTCACAGAAAGACTTGAAACGCCCGCCGGTGAATTGAGTCCCATTATCCGACACCAGTGCCCGGGGAATCCCAAAC